CACTTTGGCTTTTGACTTTGCTTATGGTGCTTTCTGCCTTGTAGGCATTTTTGGTTTTATATGGTTGAATCAGACTTTCATTTTATGGCTTCTGATTAGGGACTGTAGTTGGAAAAGCCCTTCCCTGTCCACGGTTAGAAAGGAATTTTCCTCTAGGATTTTTTTTTTTTTAAATTGAAGTGTAGTTGCCACGCCATGTTACATTAGCTTCAGGTGTACCACATAGTGATTCAACTTCTCCACAGGTTGTGTGTGCTCGTTACACGTGTAGCTCCCATCTCTCACCATACAACATTATTACACTATCATTGGCTCTATTCCCTACGCGGTACTTTTCATCCCCGTGACTGGAAGCCTGCATCCCCCACCCCCTTCACCCATCCTGCCCATCCCCCTCTTCTTCTGGCCACCACCAGTTTGTTCTCTGTATTTATGGGTCTGTTTTCCTCTAAGATTTTCATGAATTTTTTTAACCTGTAAGTCTTTTGATCCTTCTGGAATTTATCGTGGCTCATGCTGAGGCACAGATCCAGCTTCACTTTGTCCTGATAACCACCAGTCTGCCCAGCACCCCTTAGTAACACGGCCCCTCTTCCCACGGGTTCAAGGGGCTCAGGTGGAGAGTCAGGGACAGATCGCAGCATGTGATGTAGGATTGGAGCCTTTGTCCCTAAGAACAATGGGAAAATGAAGACTGGGGGGAGAAGGGGTGCCATGCTCTGATCTGCATCTTGAAAACAGCACCCCGGCCCCAGTGTGGAGATTGGAGTAGCGATATGTCAGCCCTGACGCTGGCACATCCCCCTCATTGCTTGTGGGTTTGAACTCCTGGGTCTGCAGCCCTCCCACCAACACTCCTTCTGGGTCGGTTCTGGGAGATCTTGATATGCACACAGAAGCCCCTCGCACACCCAGGCCTCCTTCAGTGAGCTGGACCTCCAGCCACCCTCCCTCCCATGGTATTGACCAATGCCTCATCATCACCAGCAAATACAGCGTCACTGTACCCCAATTCACACAATTCACCCAAGCCCACTGCCTCTTTCCCTGCCCCCACATTCCTTCCATCTCCTGCATCTTCCAACCCACGGATCCCACCGTGTCGCCCCGTCTGGCTCAAATCCCACACACGCACTCCAGCACCCGTGTGGCTGGTGACACTTTGAATGCCAGACCCACATGCAGATGTCCAGCCCTGCCCTATGTGCCATCCTCAGGGTCATCCTCCAGCAGGGCCACCTCTATGTGCCATCCTCAGGGTCATCCCTCCAGGAATCCCCCATTCTCCAACATGTTGGATCCTCCCCTCCCTGCGGATGACTCCCGTTATACACACATACGGTTGTGTCTCTCATCTTGAAGAAGTAGCCCTCTCTGGACCCCATGTCGCCAAAGCACCTGCTCTGTGTCTTTGCTCCCCTTTGCAGCAAAACTGCTTGAAAGTGCTCGCTGCCCATATTCCTCCTTGCCCTTCTCCTGGAAACCATCTCCAACCAGATTTGCACACCCATCACTCCCCCTGCCCTTACCCCTGTGTGGCTAGAGCCAGTGGGCTGGTCTTTTTTTAAAGATTTTATTTATTTATTTGAGAGAGAGAGAGAGAGGGTGCGCACAAGCAGGGTGAGCGGCAGAGGGAGAAGCAGGCTCCCCACTCATGGGGCTCGATCCCAGGACCCTGAGATCACGACCTGAGCTGAAGACAGACGCTGACCTGAGCCACCCAGGCGCCCCCAGTGGGCTGGTCTTGGTCTTCATCTTACCCAGCTGTCTGCAGTGAGGGGCACGGGCAAGCCTCCTCCTCCTCAATGCACTTTCTACACTCCGCTTCTAGGAATTCCTTCTCTTCTTCCCAACCTCGAACTGTTGGGACACCCCCGAGTGCCATGTGTATGTAAGGCTGAGCTCCTGATCCTTCCAGCCAAACCCGCCCGACCCCCAGTCTCCCCACCTCTGCTGATGGCAGCTCCATCCCTGCAGTTGTTCCACCTAGAATCGTGGCATCTTTCTTGACTCCTCTCTCTCACGCTCTGGAGAAAAATCCGCTTGGCTCTACCTTCAGAATCTATCCAGAGTCCAGCCCCTTGCACCCCTGCCCCTGCCCCGCTGCCTCTCTCTACGCTGTACGTGTCATCTCGTAGGTGATGTACTTGTTCGTTATGCTTATGGTATCTTGGCTACCTCCCTCGCTAGAAGGTGAGCTCCTTAGGACGGGTATCTTTGTCATCGTCACTGCTGTATCCCACGTGCCCAGAACAGCATCCAGAACAGCAGGCCCTCCATGGATGTCTGTGGATTGGATGTGCCAATACGTTGGGGAGGGAGAGCGTGTCGAGGGAGATTCGTCATTGTCCGGGTCACCAACTGGGCAGGAGGGAATCTCACCCACGGAGACTAGGAACCGGGAGAGGAGCATGTTTGTGGGCAGAAGACCATGAGCATGTCTGTGCACCTTGGCTTGAGGAGTCTTGGGGACTGTTCAAGGGGAGATGGCAAGCAGACAGCTCGAGGGAGGGAGTCTGGGCTTCTGAGGCACAACTGAGGCAGGAGGCACCCACTTGGGACACTTCTGCCTAGGGTAGTCAAGAGCGTGATGAGATCCCTGGGGAAGACAGGAGAGAGCAGGGACAGATGAGCCCAGAGGAGAACTGAAGAGAGGAAAGCCTTTGCCGTGAGCTCGGAGGAGCCTCTGCATGAGGCTGGGAGGGATGGAGCCAGCTGAACAGCCAGGGAAGTGGGAGGAATGTGACCTTTTGGAAGCCGAAGGGAGAGAGCGCTTCCAGAAGGCGGGCGTGCTTGGCAGCGTGGGATGAAGAGGAGAAATCCTTGGCGGGCTGACTGATGTGGAGGCAGGTGGTTGGGGACTGGGTGAGAGCCGTTCCGCTGGTGATAAGGATGGAACCCATATCAGAGGGTCACGAGGTGCATGGAAGGCGTGAAATTTAGAGGCAGTGACAGGAGACCCCTCTCCCCAGCAGCAAGGGAGAGGACAGCCAGGGCCGGAGCTGAGGAGGGCGTGTGAGCCAAGGATGGGCTTTCAGCGGAGAAACTGGAGCCGTTCCAGAGCTGCTGGGAAGCATCTGCTGGAGAAAGTGGGCTCGATGCAATAGGCAGGGAGGCAGTGGTGGGTGCAGGGCCCCTGGAAGGCGGGGCGGGGCGGCTCCTCCGACTTCCCCGGAGGGACACAGACAGGAGGCTGGGCACAGACGCAGATGCAGGCCGGTGTGTGCGTGTGGCATCCGTCCAGTGGCTTTTCTTTTCCTGGGAAAACAAGGCGCAAGGTCCCCAGCTGAAGGTGAAAAAGTCTGTCCACGGGGCCAACGCCTTGCCGCACCCTGGTCTAGACTCAGGGGACCCGCAGCCCCCCACATTACCGTTCTCGGGTATTAGCACCACCGTACATCAGTTTTTCAAGCCAAAGATCTGTCTTGTCTCTCCTTTTTCTATGCCCCATGCACACCCCCCCCACACACACACCATTAATTCAATGAGCACGTCCTGTGGGTCCTCACCGACAAGTGTCTTCTGACTCACTTCTCTCCGCTACGAGCGTGCGGAGCCCTGGCCACCGTCATTACGCGGGGACAGCTGCCCTGCACTCCTTCTCACCACCTCCCACCCCTCCTCCAAGCAGGACCCTCTGGGCCAGTGCCCCCTGCCTCCCCCTGCCTCCCCCTGCCTTTCAAATCCCAGGCCATGGTGTGGACACAGGGCCCCGAGCTCTGGCTGGCCTTCTCCCCACGCCCTCCCTGCCCCATCTCTGTGGATCCCAGCCCCTCAGAAGCCCAGTGATCCTGGTGCATTGGAAGCCTTGCCACCCCTGCCCCACGGCTCCCTCCCCTCTCCTCCCTGAGATAACCATGTCTCACCTTCAGGATCCCACCTGGCTGGGAGCTTGCTGCGCTTCTCCCTGAGTCACTGTTTTCCTAAGCATCTATCCTTCCCAGAAAACATTCTGCGACTCAGAGATCCTGCCTCTTGTACTCACCAGTGGGTCCCCTTACGTGCCCCCCCCGGGTGGGGGGGGGCGGCTCATAGGTGGCAATCCATAAATATGTGTGGGCCAACTGCCGGCCGAGTGTCCCCTCCTCCCTGTGCCGGCCCCGCTACCCAGACTGAGGCCCAGGGTCTGCGGCGGAGCAGAGAGTTTACTGGATTGGCAGTGGCATGCCTTTAGCGGAAAGTGTATGGGGTTCAAGAGTTGGGAGAGCTCTTTCCGGGATGAGTTCCAACCCTTAGCCAACTATGTGGCCTTGGACAACTCCCTGCTTTCTCCCTGAGCATCTGTGTTGTTATCACATCTCCCACAAAGATGGCTGAGAAGGTCAAATGCAGTGTGGTTTGCACCCCAGAAGGCGAAGAAGACACCTGCGGGTTTCGAGAATGTTCTCGGCAAGCCCTCATCTGCCGGGGGGGGACAGGTGTCAGCGTGCTGCACAAGCCTTTCCCAGAGCAGCCCCCTGTGCTTCTGGACTCAGCCCCTTCAGCTTCCCCACACACACCCAGACTCGGTGCCCCTGACCCCAGGCTGAACCACAGGCACCCCCTGTGTGTCTGCTCAGCCCCACCCAGAATTGCACCCTTAGGAGTGCTCTGCCCTTTGCCCCAAATGTTTTCTCCCCCAAGTCTTTCCCCTTCAGTAGAAATGAACTGACCCCAGGTGAGCACCAAAATTTGTTCTTCAAGCAGGAACAGGTCTGATTCCTACCTGGCTTGCCAAAACCGGACCCAGATGGGCCCCAGGCAGGGATCAACCGTAGCCCTGTGAAATGAACGCCGGAACCAATACACGTGGGATTGTCATTTCCACCCACACGCCTGCCCCTGCCCTGCAAGGGCAAAAGCACCCCCTCTGCCCTGCCACTTGGCTTTGGGGCCCATGAGAACATCAAAGGCTTGCAAGGAGGGGTGGCCTGTAGCTGTGCGAGTGAGAGGCTGGCCTGGGCAAGGGGACCCTCTCTCCCTGTGATGCTGACTGTAGGTTCTCTGCTTGTGTTTTGCAGGTCCTCCCGTAAGTGTCCTGGATGATGCTTTCTGCTCCTGAAAGATAAGACATTTTGTCCTCTTCTGTAACTATTCCATGAAAATAATTTTTAGTTAGAGAGGTGTGTTGTATCCTTTAAAAAAAAAAAATCAGTCCTGGACAGGGGCCATATGTTATTTTTTTAATTTGTAGATGAATGCCAGCACAGAATTCTATGGGCTCGACTTGCCCTGTGAAGCACTCTGTGACCCTCTTCCTTCCAAGAGAGCTGGCACTCTCGGGCCCGGCTGCTCCTCGCCAGGTCTCGGCTCAGCTTGGTGCACAGAGACGCGAGCACCGTGTCCTCATTTTCTAAATGCTCTGTGGCAGTTAATCTGTTTAAATGTTTCTGTCTCGCGTGCTTAGGCACAAAGGGCCCTGGAGTCAGGCAGCGGTGCCACAGGACTCAAGGGGTCCCTTTCCCCGATTTGCCAAAATGCGTTAGCCTCCCTGGCTCGGGCGGCTGAGCCTTCGCGGGAGCACCGGGAACACCACTCACTGGCCAGTGGGACGAGGGTGCCCGGGAGGGACTGGCCACCAGGGGACAGCACGGAACGCAGGGGGTGGTCAGCACCCTGGAACTCCCAGGCCCTTCTCCAAAGACATGTGACAGGTTGGTCTTTGATTCATCCTGGCAGTTTTTCAGAGCCTGATGATTCCTGACAAATCACTTCAGGGAGCACACTGACAGTCCGTGTGGGCCAAAGTGAACCTTCTAAAGGAATTCCTTCCCGGTGAACAGTTTTATTTTTGACTTTCCCAATCGGCACCCTTCGGAAGCCGGGCTCCTCCGTGCATGAGGCGGCACTGCACTGAGACAGGGAGCGAGCCCAAGAGAATGTGTAGATTTATTGGCCACAAGCAGTTTCTGACTGTTGAGTCATTCCTGGCTGTCACGCGGAGGCTAGCCTGTGTGAACTTGCTTGAAGTGCGTAACGCGGAGGGCAGTGGAGTGATTTTTTTTTTTTTTTTTGACTTGGCTGTTAAACTCTGCAGAATTCTCAAGCTGCAGCCTGAGATGGATGCCAATGTGTGGGACACTGGCCCGGCAGTCAGTGCTCTGATCTGGTGGGGAGCAGAGAAGCATCCAGTAGCGAGAAATGCCCCGCCCCCGCACCCCCATATCTCCGGCTTCCAAGGCTGTCTTCCTCCGTCTACCCCCTCCCAGTGGCAACAGGCAGGAAGAGCCATTTCTGCTCTCTAGACCTGACTCAGGGAGCCTTTTCCATAGTGGCGGTGACACCACCCTTCAGAATCACCCACCCCCCTGTGGTCCTCGCCATGTCCCCCCCACCTCCCCGAACCGCGTGGGTGTGCTTCCTGGTGGCCCCTCCAGCTTGGCTCCAAGAGGCAGGAAATGGGTGCTCTGTCTCCCAGATCCGGCGGAGCCCTGAGTGTCCCCCACCACCACCAGGAGTCATTACCAAACCATCAGCCTTTGCTGCAAACCCCTCAGAACATGGGGGGACCGGGGGGCCCTGATTGAGTTGTAAGTGTTGCCATATGGTTTTCTGCTCAAAGTCTGATTATTAATGACGTATTAATTACCACAGGGGCAATCAGGACGAGATGGCTACCCGGTAATTTGCCATTTATTTTTTGCTCTTTGTGCCCTTTTCTCTCCAGCTGATCTTCTTCCTCTGAGCCTTTATTTAACTCTGTCTACACTCCTGCCCACGCGCCCCTCTTCTGCTCTCAGTGGCTGAGGTCTGTCTGTAGAGGGGGGTTAGCAGTAGCTCTGCGAATCTGTCTGCTGCTCCAGCTGTCCTGCAGGCAAAGCAAAGAGGCTCAAGGAAGAGCCTCCTTGGCATCTCGAATCCTCCAGACACTCTTGCTGCCCAGCCTGTGCGCCCTGAGCCAAGGGTCCGGCCCTTGGCTGTGGAGTGCCCCCCGGGGCTGGCTCGGCTGTCAGCCTCTCCCCAGTGGGCAGGGGGCTGCCTGTCCCAGCCCATCGTGATCTGTCAGCACTCGGGATCCGGAGACTGGCTGGTTCCAGTGTGGTCTCTGTGGTGTCATCACTTCTCAGATCTTTTGAATTAAACCTCAAAGTTGGCTTATATAGACATCCCCCTCCCGGGCTGGGTGAGCACTGCATGAAAAGCAAAATTACATGGAGCTGTGCTGATGTCCAGTCCTGCTCAGAGAGGTTAAGGACCACAGCCCCAACATCCAGAAATCCTGATGCGTCAGAGCAGGGGGGGTTACCTCGTGGAAGGAGAGCATGGCGGGACCTGGGGTGTGGATGGGGGACAGAAGTTGTTCTGTGCTCTCAGGCCAAGAAGATGCAGGGAGGAAAATGTTGGTTGATTCAGAGCCCTAGATAATGACCAGCTCTGTCCAGAGTCAGGACAAGCTGGTGATGGAGGGCAAAGGGGGGGTGTCCCCGAGTCCTGCTGGAGCTGCCTTGCCAGGAGACTGTGAATGGCAGTCCAGCACCGAGCACCAGAAAGATCTGAACTTGCAGGTCAGCGCTGTGCCTCCCGGCTGGGTGCCCCAGGAAGAGTGGGTGGTAGCTGGGGTGAATGTGTTTCTTCCCTCGTCCCCCATATTGGCTTCTCTGAGCACAGAGTGACATTGACTCCTTTCTCCGGGGCTGTGAGCATGAGAGAGTATGTTGGCTGATGGTGAGAATCATTTTTCCCAGGTAAAGGATGGGGGTTCCAGACCAGCCCCCAGGTCCGGGTGTGGAGTTAGGAAGTCAGGGCTTGAATCCCTGCTCACTGGCTGTGAGCTCCCTCCCTGTGAAGACAGCAGTGGGGTTCAGGAGAAGTGAGGTCCTGCCTGGAGCATCCCAACACCAAAGGTCACCGCGGACACGTGACTGGGGCGGCTCCAGGACTGTCGGGGAATGGAGCCTAGGGTTTAGCATGTGGGGGGCTTGGTGCCCACCTGGGCCAGAGATGGGGCTCCGTGAGTTGGGGGAGGGGAGGCAGGGAGTTGGATGCAAGGGCAGTGTGTCCCTCTGGTGTGATGTTGGGAGCTTTCTGGGAAGGAAGTGGCTGGGCCCGGGGAGGGGTGAGGGGACCTTGTCAAAATCTCGGGTCACACACCCGCGAGCGCACAGGGCCGGGGCGCCCCTCTTCCTGAGGTCACCTAGCGCCGGCTTGAACCCATGCTGCCCTCTCCACACAGATATGGCCATCCTCCCCGGCTGGGCTGAGTCCCAGGTGTCCACGCCTTGAGCACCAGGAGCCAGCCAGGCCCCGCCATGTGCCTCCCAGCACCCTTGTTCCAGCAGTCCAACTGCTCACGCGGTCCCCTGCAGGGGGCCCACGGTCTGGGAGTGACACCCCGCTGTGCTCCTGCAAGGCAGGGAAGCAGGCCCATGCGGCCAGGAGGCAGGTGGGACCATCTTCCGTGGGTTCGCGGGGCCCATGTGTTTTGAACTGAAATTAAGATCTCTTGGCCAGCGGAGGGCCTGGCTCCCAGCCTGTGGGGCGGGTACAGACGGCTCCACCATGCTCATCCCAGAGGTTGGGGTGACTGACACCGCTGGAGAGGCCCGGGCAGGCTAAGAGACACCTCGTGTACTGAGTATCCACGGGCTTGGAGTTGTTCAGACCCAACTCAGAATCTGGGCTCCACTCTGTGGCCTTGGGCAAGGTACGCGGCCTCTCGGAGCCTGGGGAGGTCACAGGCACAGAGGTGGAAGATTAAAATAGGGTAACATATGCAGGGTCCAAACGCAGCGTGAATGTGGCAGCCCCTTGATCATGTCGCTGTCTTTCCTCACCAAGGAAAGCCGCAAGAGGAGGAAAGACAGGTTGAGGAAATGACTTTTTCTTTTATTTGAGAGAGAGAGAGAGAAAGAGAGTGAGGGGAGGGGCAGAGGGAGAGGGAGCAGCAGACGCCCGCTGAGCGGGGAGCCCGATGCGGGGCTCGATCCCAGGACCCTGAGATCATGACCTGAGCCGAAGGCAGACACTTAATGACTGAGCCACCCAGGCGCCCGGGAAATCACTCTCACCCACCAGCATACACTGGCAGTGTTGGGAAAGGAAAATGGCTTTGAGAACAGTCAGTTTTAGGAAAAGGTGTTTTTCTGCAGCTTAGGAAACTTCAGGACCAGACTCAGGGAGGATTTTTTTTTATTTTGTGTTAAAAAAATGTCACTTCCTAAAAGGAGACTGCGCCGGCTGTGTGTTCTGGATTAATCCAGGCTGGCCCCGCCCCTGAGCGAGATCAGCTGAAACCAGGTCCATATGTGGACTGGGGCACAGGAGCCAAGCATGACAGTGGGGCAGGTTGTGGACTGACAAGGGCACAGCCTCCTTGCAAAGAGGCCAGCCTGCCCCATTCCTGCAAGTGTTCACGAATAGCTCCCTGCCAATGACAACAGAAGCATGTTTATTAGAAAACCGTCCCTCTCCTGCTCCCCCTGCTTGTGTTCCCTCTCTCACTGTGTCTCTCTGGGTCAAATAAATAAATAAAATCTTAAAAAAAAAAAAAAAGGAAACCATCCCAAAATAGAGAAAAGCACAAAAAAGGAAAAAGCGATCATCCATAATCCTACCACCCACAGATAAGTCTTCCCAGTATCTCCGTGGTTGTTCTTTTCGGACTTCTTATGTGTGAGTTTGTTTTTATGTTTATTATTCTAAAAATGGGGTTACTGGACAAACTTTTTTGGAGCCTTTTTTTTTTCTTTTCATTTAACATAGCATGAGATGTTTCCACATCCTTCAGAATTCTTCTAGAAGGTAGTAGTAGCTACATAGTATTTTTTCATCTGTATAATTTAACCCATGTCCAAGTTATGGTGTTTATATTGACAATTTCTTAACCCGTATGGTCAACATCCTGGGAATAAATGTAGGTGTATTTCCATGATTATCTCCTTAGAATCGATGTCTAGAAGTTGAATTGCTGGACCAAAGGGTTTGCACATGTTGAAGGCTTTTGATGTGTGGCAAATTGCCCTCCTGGAGGCTATTCTAATTTACATTCCCACCAACAGCGTAGGAATGTTGCATATTTCCCCAAACCCTGACCAACTGTGGGTATTATCATACTTTTAAATCTATGCCAATATGATAAGTTAAAAAAAATTGTGTGCATGTATGTATCTTGTTTTAATTTAGGGTATATTTTAATGAGAGGTACAGTCTTGGAGATTAAACTAGTTTTAATAGTTTGTGTAAGCCTAACTGCCACCTGGTGGTAGAGCTTAGAATTGCAGGTATAGTTGAAAGAGGAAATCACCATTTTTTTTAAGAGCTTCCAGATCCCTGTTGGTCCCGGGACATCATGGAATCAGCAGCCTAGGGGGAATTCTGAGCTCCAAATATTGTGAGTCAGAGGTGGAACCCACAGAGGAGCCCTAGGCACTGTGCTCATCTTGCATTTGGGGGGCAGTAATCAACATTTATGTTGATGAAGGGATTTTTGCCATCTCGTACATAGGAGGCTTGGCTCTGTCAACAGATCTGGACGGTGTCATGCCCTGTGCTGGGTACTGCGCTAGCACAAAGATGAATCACTCATAGTCTTTGGGGAGCTGTGAGGGAGTCAGACCAACACAACCAATTTGCCATGGAATAGAGAGGAAGGAACTGTTAGGGGTCACTGTGACTCCCTGGAGATTTCTTATACAAACCCTTTCTTTGCTCCAAACCATGGCTTCTGTCTAAGACGAAAAGGTTAGATCTTGCCTACACCTTGACTTTTGCACGGAAAACGCCAGACTCTCATCATCCGCTGATTACATCGAAACTCTTCCTCTTTTGGTGTTTTGATTCTTTTGACTCTTAACATTGAGCTTGAGTGACTTTCTGGTTTGTTTTATACCTTCAGAGTGCAATTTAAACATTTTTCCAAGAATGTGTTTGTGGCATATCTTACAGGACTTAAGGTTTCTGTGTACCCGAACGTATGAGGAGAGCATCAGGTTGTGAGGCTAGAGGTGCATAGAGATGATGAAATCCAGTGAAGCCAGGGTGGGGAACTGTGCTCACCGAGCAGTTGGTCAGTGACTCTATGCTAGATGCTTTCCTGGGTCTTTGGACCAGCACTGAACAAGAGAGACAGGGGAGAGGCGCCTGGGTGGCTCAGTCGGTTAAGCATCTGCCTTCAGCTCAGGTCATGATCCCGGGGTCCTGGGATTGAGCCCCATGTTGGCCTCTCTGCTCAGAGGGGAGTCTGCTTCTCCCTCTGTGCTCTCTCTCTCTCAGATAAATAAATAAATAAATAAATAAATAACCTTTAAAAAAGAGAGACAAGGGGAGAGAAACAATGAATAAGGAAACCAACAAACCAACAAACAGTGAAATGTGCTAGGAAGAGAATAAAGCAGGGATGTATCAAGAGTACCAGCTGGGTGCATGGGTGGGCATAACTGGGATTAAGTCATCGGAAGGCTCTTGGGGAGGATGACGTTTGAGCTGAGCTTTTAATGGTGAAAACAATGCAGAGATCTTGTGGAAGGGAAAAAAGCAAGTGCATGAGGTCATGGGGTGGGGTCGACCTTCATGCATCCAGAGTACAAGAGAGGGGTACGGGGCGGGGGCGGGGGGTGAAGCCGGAGAGATCTCCAGAGCTGCGTGGTGCAGAAGCTTGTAGACTGTAGGCTAACAGGCTGACC